TTTACAGAAATCTATTGATTTTCGGTGCTAGGTTTATATTTTTTCGAATCTTCATTCATATCTTTAATCTACAGTGGCGAAAAAATTGAAAACTTGATTTAAGAACAAGCTGTATAATAATTTCACGATCTACCGTATCGAAATACAGTGTCAGGACAATAACCATATCTCTCTTATCCTCCAATGTTGTGATCCTGAACATTCTGGCGAGGATTGATATTTGGAACAATGAGAACCTAACCCAGAAAGGCAAAGAGGTAACTTAAACTTGGGGTAAGGAAACATATATACACACATTAAGGCCAATGTGTGTAGCTACCGCATGCTGAAAAAATCTATAAAATCGAGGCAAAACGAAACAAGTTTTGCAAGATCTCACTTTCTAAACAAATAAAATTATTTTATTCTATAATCAAATAATCAAATAATCAAATAGACCACCCCAAAGTAAGAAAAGTAAAGTAAAACTTAGATCGTTTTGATGATTAGTTGTTAAGATACATGAGATTAACCTTAACAGCCCTCTAGTCCCCTAGACTGAAACCTAGTAAATTTATATTTTAGACTAACAGATAAACAGCTTAAGAATGAGGTACCACATGGCTAATAATCTATTTAAATAAATATTCCAAGATGGTGCCCGGTCGAAATTTTTAACTGCCACTTTCATGCTAAGATAGAGAATCCATGCACTAATTGCATCACCCTGAATTTCAGCTAAGTAACTTGACCCGTTAAAAATAGTGGATTCGGAGTTTCTTGAAATCACTGTACAGTGTGTAATTAATTTGATTGCTAAAAATACAGGATATGATTCCTTAGCTTATTTTAGGAAGAAAAGTTCATATGAACATACGTCCAAAACCTCTTAATTTTTGAGCTACAGGATGCTAAAATTTTAAGAAAAAATTCGTTTAGTAATCATAACTTTAATACTGTTCTAGATATTTTCATGCAATTTGACACACACCTGCTAAGCACCAATTGACATTTTCTGATGTAGAACATTATTTAATATGTTTACCAGTGCCGTCCGTATATTGGAGATTTTTTTTTAATAATGCGCCATTACTTTTTTCAAAAATAAAAATGATTTTTGAAATCCTCAATTATGCAACAAATTTGACCTTCTGATTTTCTTCCATCCAATTCACCGTTTTCGCGTAAAAAATAATAACCATTTTGGCTATTTTAATCAATGAATTAAACAAAAACACATCTTACTTTGCAATGCATGAAAATTGAAAAAACCAGTTTGAAATGAAATTTGACAATTTCTGTGGATCAAATAAACTAATACTATTTAATTTAATTATTACAAGAGTTGTTGAAAATGTCCTCCCTCTTTCTCGTAAATTGGCAAGAAAGTAAAATTGTCTGCCTTAGTTCCTCTACAGTTTAAACTATTTAAATCAAGGAACCTGCTAAGCCAGGACTGAGTTCATTTAGAAATTTTCTAGCTAATGCTAAAATGAGCAGCAGCACCGCCATGCATGTACTTATTCTCTTAATAAAAGAGGTACATCCTCGAGCAAAATTGGCAAATCGTTTTCAAGAAAGTGACGACATGACAGTCCATCCAGTCGACCTGGAAAACCAACGGCAAAAATTTAAACGCAATGGAAAATCACGCGGCAGTAGTACTCGACCCCTTTGAATATGATGGGGGTATAGTGAATTATCTAAAAGTATTTTCCAAATAAGAAAATGGGAGCATTAAGCATTACCTCAATTTTCTACTACTTGTTTCTGGATGTTCCTCAATTGTGTTTAAAATAGCTTCCTCTAATTCTGGTGTTCACGCCGTGCGATGTGCCCCTTTGGAGCTATTGTCAATGCCCAGTTTCACGTAGAGTTCTGTGTATTCTAGAAAACATTCTGGTATCGGGAATGTTACGCATTCCCGTCAGCAAGTGTGAAGATAAAATGTATACCTGCTAACTTGGAATTTGTAAATCATGGCATAGTTAATTTATTTTTCTTTATCATTGATTAAAAAAACTTTCAGAATGTAAAAAACTATCACGTTTATGAATACTTGTCAAAATAAGACTGCAACGTAATCGATCAAATGTCATTATTTTAATATCAAAATAGGGCACCAGCCTACTAGTTCAAAATAATTTCGTTATACCACAAATGCATGAAACTGGATTTTATTTTTTCACGCCAAAACGGTGCATTGGACAGAAAAAAGTCGAGAAATCAAATGTACTGCAGAATAAATGAGGAAAGTAGTGGCGTACCACATTTGTTTTTCCGCCAGTATACTATATATCAAAAAATGCCTTTTCCAGAAAAATATCTAGAACAGTATTAAAGTTACCCTGTAGCTCCAAAGTTAAGAGCTTTAAGACATATGTTCATTTAAGCTTTTCTTCCTAAAATGAGCTAAGGAATCATATCCTGTATTTTTTGCCATCAATTAAATTATTATATCTATATTTCATATAAAGGAAGTTCTTTTGTTGCGAAGAATTGTACATTAACAAGTTAATAGTTACGAGTTATTCCAGAAGAAGATAATAAGGAATCATCACGTGCCTGCTGTGTGATATTGCTTAAGTGTAGGAATATTTGCAAATAAAATAAATATTTAACCAGGGTTACGATTTTACTTGAATAGAAAGCTCTTCAATGTAATTAACTCTCAAAATACTCGTGACACAATGACAAAAGTAATAAAACAACATATTTTTGTAATAACGGTAGAATATACGTCGGCCTCTCATATATGTACCTAGATAAAATTAAAGTACTTTGTCAATATTGATAAGTGAACTTTTCAGATAAGGCATGTCATATTTAATCACTTATTTCGAAATATGATGGTTGCACTTACGTACTGGGAATTTTGTTGGATACAGATAATGATTTAGCAACCTAATTTAGAAAAGATTGCAATAAAAATTGTGAAACGTCTGGTTTATGTTGTCACTATGTATTCAACATTTAGGGAGAGTAACGATTATTGCACATGACAGCTTCAGTTCGGAATTAGCATTGTAGACTGTGAATCATGAATAACTCTAACCTTCCACGTGATCACTTGTACCTCGAAATGTTCGTCATACGCTAACATGGTGGACCAACTAAAAGGTCGCACCCCTATTTGTGACTCTTCTGGTGTATTTTAGAAAAAGTGTCGGACACGTCATATTTTGATATCTAGGGGAGCGTCTTTTCATTTATAGCCGTAAAAAACAGGGTGATCCAAGAATAAGATATTGGATTTTTAAATGGAAACCACATTTTTTTAATTTTCAGATTTTCCACGAAGTTCTTAGTAACTTTTATCTAATAAAGTCCATACCTATCTCCAATCGTTGTGAAGCGATTTGAGTTTATAATAAAATTCTAGAACATGTGCTAATAAGGGATTATATCGCAATCGATATAGTTCCCATAGTAACAAACAATCCTTTAAAATTAAAACAAAGTCTCAGAATATTAAAAAAACAAAATACAACGCGCAGTTTACACGCAAACATGTGGTACATCTTGAACTATATGACCCCTCCCTAACCAAACTAACCTATTGAAACTATGGCAGCTCAAATGTTGGCGTCTGTCGCTAATAGTCCCCACTTCAGGGAGATGCCCAACGGGTAAAAAGTTTAAAAAATTGATCGAAATCGACAGTCTAAATGATTCCTGTATTTCCTAGAGCTACTATGATAACAGACATAGATGTCCTACAATTAAAGCGAGATTTGAATTTGCATCGAACGTTATACGATACAACAACGTGTTTTCATTATTGGAAAACATTCTAAAAATAATGAAAGTTTAACGTCCCCGGTTCGAAAATTTTATACAAAATGTGGCCGGAATAGTGTTTTAACCTCGTCAACTGTGAAAAGATTAATTGACAAATTCACGGAGACTGGAACAGTTGGAGACACCGGTCGTTCAAAAACAAGCTGTTCAAATGTCCATGTCGACGCAGTGCGTGAGAGTGTTGGTGAAAACCCACGAACGTCAATTCGGCGTCGTGGACAAAAACTGAAAATTTCAAGAAGCTCTCTATAGGGTATACTCACAAGAGATCTGTGTCTCGATGGTTACAAAATTTAATCAACACAACAACTGAAGCCTAACGACCATGAACAACAAAGGGAGGGATGCTGATATTTCGAGCAAAATCATCCTAAGCGACGAAGCAAATTTTCACCTTGGTATCATTGTTAATCGTCAAAACTGCCATAGCTGGGTTCGGAGAACCAACATGCGATTGTCGCAAAATAAATGCACCCACAACGTGTCACACGGATTCTGAGCTGGAGGCGTCATTGGACCATACATTTTTGAAAATGAGGCTGGTGAAGCAGTAAGTGTTACTGGAGCTGGATATCACGACGTGAAAACAGTTTTTTCTGCTAAAATGTGTCGAATATGTGGCTTCAACAAGACGGTGCCACATGCCATACAGTCAGTTAAACAATTCAGTTACTGCATGAGACATTTTCTGGTCGTGTACTTTCCCGATTCGGTGATCAGAATTAGCCATCTAGATCGTGTTATTTGGTTATTCAAAGTCAACGGTCTATGTCAACCACCCATGCATTACAAGAAGAAATTAAACAGTGCATCAACGAAATTCAGCCACCATTATGCAGAAAGGTCATGAAAACTTTCGACAAAAGGGTGGTGCGTATGTACTAGCAAAGCCGTGGAGGCCATTTGCCCGATGTGATATTCCATACATAACCCTATCCTAAGTACTTTCAATAAAAAATAACAATCTAAAGATATAAAACTGTGTTCTCTATTTAATTCAACACTTGCCTTAATTTTGGGACACCCTTTATATAGGTAGCGTTTCCGCTATTACTCTGCACACAGTGATAAGTCAATTTTTGTCATGAGACTATTGCATTTCTTTTTGTTTTGTTATTTGAAGACAAATGCCTAGGCCAACAAGCCCACTGACATTTATTTGAGCCCGGGACAAAGTGGGAATAGACAAAAGGCTACTAAAATAGAGGTGTAAAACTTACGTAATCTCTGATGATGGTTCGATGGACCCGCAACGCTCGCTGCACCGGAGTTCTTTGGTCTCCTCTTCCTGGTCTGTATCCCATCCTTCTTCATGCTCTGAGGCCTGTTCACCTACAGAAAAGTTCTCTGGATTATCGTCAGACACACATACAAAAATTTATCTGACAACGCGATGATAGTGTATCTTATATTTACAAGAGAATATTTTTTGTTGTTATTACTCTATATCAGAAAAAGATAAATTTTGCATATCAACCCCGGATAAACTGATACGTTTAGAAACAATCAAGATACCGTAATATCAACCATTTACTGAGTCTATCTTAGATTATGCACAGACAGCTTGTCTGCTATATTTTCACAAAAATTATCTTTAACGTAACATGAAAATTATATAACCTGCAATTTATCATACCATGATATAAGGTACTGTTATCACTTTTGGTTGTTTTAATTGATATGGGTTCATTGATTCATTCCCAAGTTGTAAGTAGAGGTTCACTAACATTTATATCGTTTCCATGGTAAAGAACAAAAATGTTTTGTCACATAGTACTTCAAGAAGACCAAGCGACTATCCCTCGTAAAAGCTTCTACGATGCTGATTGAAACAAATCTTTAGTCAAGTTAGCCTCGGGAACAATTCTAATCACTTACGTTTTGCAATGTTAGTTTTGTTTGTAAACGTCACACTGATCAGTTCCTTTCTCACATAATACGAGGCTTGTCCGTAAAATAAATTCCACGGGCTGCCGCTGGCGCTAGGATCGTTTCTATGCACAGCCAGGCAACAGAGGCAGATTGTTTGGTTCCCCCACTCCAATCCCTCACCAAGCCAGCGTCGCTGCGACGTTTAGTCTTGGCTCAGCAGCCGTCAGCGATGGAGCTTCCTCTTTCGTCTCCCGCCAGGTGCGAGTTGCGGTCTGTTATTCGTTTCCTGGCCGCTAAGAAGAAATCGGCGAAGGAAATTCACGAAGAACTTTGTCAAGTGTATGGAGAAGACTGTATGAGCTGCGGGATGGTGCGCAGATGGGTCAGGGACTTTAAAAATGGCCGAACAGACGTCCACGACGAAGCCCGTGCAGGGCGGCCATCGGTTTCCGACGAAACAATTGCCAAAGTCGAAGCGGCAATGCTTGAAGATCGACGGATTACAGTTCGGGAGCCTGTGCACAAAGATTCCGGAGGTCAGCAAAACCACAATTGACAAGATTTTGACTGAACATTTAGGCTATTCAAAGGTCTGCGCAAGATGGGTACCAAGAATGCTCACTGCAGACCACCGGCGGCAGCGGGTTGAAGCGGCCCAAGAATTTCTCGCTTTTCACGGAACAACCGAAGAGGAATTTCTGGACTCTATTGTTACTGGTGACGAGATCTGGGTACACTACACCACACCGGAAACAAAGGAGCAATCGAAGCAGTGGAAGCACTCTTCTTCACCAAGAGCAAAGAAGTTCAAACAAATCCTGTCTGCCGGGAAAATCATGGCTAGCGTTTTTTGGGATCGAAAGGGCGTATTGTTGTGCGAGTTTATGCCTCGCGGGACAACAATCAATGCTGACCGGTACTGTGAGACCTTGAAAAAACTTAGACGTGCCATTCAGAACAAGAGAAGAGGAATGCTGACGAAAGGAGTGCGTTCTCACCATGACAATGCCCGACCGCACACCGCCAATCGAACCACAGCCCTCATCGAAAGATTTGGATGGAAAATGGTGTCTCACTCAAACTCGGTTGTTAGTTTTCTACACGGACAGGCGGCAGAGTTCTATGACTCTGGTTTGAAGAAGTGGGTGCCTCAAATGCAGAGATGCATAGAACGCAACGGCGATTATGTAGAAAAATAAAAGAAAGACTGAACTTTCCAAAAATGTATTTTCTTTGCAATTAAACCAATTTTTTGATATGAAAAAAATTTGTGGAACTTATTTTACGGACACGCCTCGTACAAACAAAACGGTAAAGGCTTTCTTTCGTCAATAATTGCTGACGAAGAATCATACTGTCATTATTTTGAACCATCCAGTAAGCTATTATCGATCCAATGGAAACACTCTAATTCCCCGCCACGTAAGTAGTCAACTTTCTGCAGGCAAAGTCATGTTAACATTTTTTTTTCGACCATGAAGGATCCTTGCTCATAGAGTTTAAAGAAGCTAGAGTCCATATCAATGCAAGCCTGTATAATGAAACTTTGAACAATCTCCATCAAGCAATAAGAGGAAAACGTCCAGGGAAGGTCTCACGTGTTATTATTCTTCTGCACGGCAATGCTCGGCTAAGCAGTGAAAGAAAATTTACAACGAAAGAAATGGAGGATATTAGAGCATCCACCATATAGTCCTGATTTACCGGCTTGCAATTTTTTGGGCCACTGAAAAAGGCGTTAAAAGGTAAGCATTTTCAGTCGGACGAAGAAGTACAAAATGGCGTAAAATATTTGTTCAAACAGCAGCCACAAGAATTCTTTAAGCAGGGTATACATCGATTGGTGAGATAATGGGATATGTGCCTTAATTATAGTGACAATTACTTGTAGATATAATTATTTGCCAATAATTTTTGTCTTGACCAAATATGAGTTTCAATTGAACGAGCGATATTCACTACAAGTTTCCAAACTTGTTACAGCCACAATGGCTAGATTAGAATATTCGAACGTATGTTCAAAGTGTAACTTCCCTGTACGATTACTTCAAGAACAGATTTGACGATATTCGATATTCGAAAGTGGCAAATGTGGTATTGAAATAAGAGCTGCTCAAGTTCAGTACTAATGAGGAGCTGGAGGTGAAATTATATAAAGGCTGTCAACCATTTTGGCAGAATTACCCGGAAGATATTCTGGCCTCAGGAAAACTGAGATAAACTTGTATCGCACCAATTCGAATAAAATTTTAGTATTATTACAATTCTATTACAGACAAAAAGAGCAGATTGAACATTGCACACCGGAGAGATTTTAGCTTATTCCTTGCAAAACTGAAGGCAAATATTGATAATTTGCTGCCAATCCATCAAGTGTATCCCTCCTATTGACATTCTGATTTATTATACTATTTATTTGCACCGTTGATTTGTAAGTATGTTATCTTAATATGATATGAAAAAATATTATTTTTACTTTTTGACTAGCTTTTGAAATAGGTATTGAACAGGAATGTGCACCCGAACTAGCAAAATTTTTGAGTTCTATGAGAAAAGAGTATGGGGACTACTGGTCTAGATGCTCACAGATGGCGTTATATCTTTCAAAATATCCTTTTTTGTGTCATACACATGTGTATCAAATTCAAAACACGGCAAATACAATTTCATACCTTGGGAAGTAAGTATTGTGATCGCAATAACTTTCGGATGTAAGATAATCTTTTTTGGACAATTCTTGACATTCATGGCCACAAAAGATCACGTTACTTGTGTGAAAATTGTATCGAAATCCGAGCGGTACTTCTCAAGTTATAGGCGGTTATAGGATTAGCGGACAGACAGAGAACATATCTCATTTTCGAAAATTTTCGCGATTACAACCTCCTGGCAGTTTCTAAATGTATTGCATATGTGTGAATTACATTATTGAAATGAAATCGGGCCCTATATGGCGATATGCTAATCGTCAAAAACATTATCATCAAGTCATCATTGGTTGGTCAAAAACATGATGTTACTATGTCATTGGTTGGCTACAGAGGGGTTGCAGGTCGCACGTTGACCTTGAACTTAGCATGCCATTTTAACGCATAGGTTATGACTGAAAGGTCAAAATAGCATAACAGCGTAATGTAACTGACCATTAATATCTCTCCGATAAAATATACAGTTTTTTGACAGTCAAATACCGTATACCATTGATATTGAATCTTTAGGAAATATGACATAACGTTTTATAGTACAAATGATTATGTTCTTCTATTCGGCATTGTCTGTTAGAGCGGTCCGTAGGACTTGGTTAAAGTCTTGTAAGTCAGTAGGTCTGTCAGGTCTGGCTGTCCAGATACCAGACAAAGTCGGGGAGAAAGAAGGGAAGAAGAAAGAACGGAAGGAGGTAGAGCAAAGAAAAAAGAATTGTGCCTTGGCATTGCTAATTAGTATTCGGCAATTTTAAATTGATCCTAAAATTAATTTAGAGATTGGTTGTTGAAGAAAAATTATAATTTTGAGTTAATTTTGTTCACAGTGCGAGTCGCGGCCTTGTGTGCGTGCGAACTTGCTCGACTGTGAAGTCGTGGTTTATGTTTTGCACAGCTTAGTCGGGCTTTTATGGAAATGATGATGATGGGCTCTATGGATACCAATAAATCGTCAAGCGTAGCATTATATAAGAAAAATAAAAGTTGCTATCATTTTCTGAAAAACTGAAGATTTGGCAACATCCCTGATATCATCAACGGATCTGCCGCGGTTTCGAATCGATATTTGATACGTTCCAAACTTTTGCTACAGTCTGTATATGCAGTATGTGGTATCTTCAATTGCCAAGAATCCCTAATAACTTCTATTCTATTGTTTGACTATTAACACTCGAAGTGTTCTTCTATAATACCTATACTTACGTTGTGTAATTTGAAGTATAATCCACATGCGTTGCATACTGGTTCGCCTTGATTATTTCGCCTCCATAGTGTGGTGTTTTGTGTTTTACAATTGGCACAGGAAACTCCGTTTCTTCTGTTACCAGTCTGAAAATGAATCTTTTCAAATTGATGTGGAATCTTTAAAAAATCATTTTAGCTTGTTCCGTCATCCAGAATCAGGTACATTATGAGCGCTTAAAAATTCTTAAACACTTCTTTTTATAAGCCATTCAAAACTTCTGATATTTTTTTTAAAATATCTTTCTTTTTCAATCTCGACAAGCTTTAAGGCGGAATAAAGCTAGAAAGTAGTAGCAGTAGACATTTATTTACTCCATTATATAAGAACAATAACAACATAAAATGGGTAAATAAATGTTTCAATCCGCAGAAGGACAATGTCTGTACATGTTGGAATGTGTTCCAAAATCAAAACAAAAATTTTAAAAGAAACTTAACGAACAATTGATTTCAAAGAGGTGTATATCTAGATGATGATAATTTTAAAGAATTCAATAATATGTGACTTTCGAAATTGTTTTAAGTCTTTGGGTACGATTTCATATAAAGAAAAGATCGCTTCATTATCGTCTGATAAGGTTTAGGGATAGTTTCTGTTCGTAATTTATATCGGGTGACTGACCACTTTGATATAATGGATAGTATGTAAAAAATAAGGTTGCTTGATATCAAATAATTTTGTTTCGTTATATAAATTATTTGTTGAATTTTTTTTACTTCCGAACATAGTTTTTAAAACTTCTATGTCGTTTAAAACCACTGGACATGCTGTGCCCCATGCTAATATACCATACCTTAGGTGCGGCTCAATTGTGTGTGTGTGTGTGTCAAAATATTGGCATTGGAAACTGGAGTCCATTTGCCACAAAATGTAGTCAATGGATTTATATTATCTGATCATTGTGAGAGACGGTAAGAAAGAAAGAAAAGGGGTGGATATAACTGAATAGTTACGAATTCTAGACAAGGTTTATTTTATATAGTAATATTTGCCTCTTTAAGGAATTGAATTAGCGCTAAATAAATTTTTATATCCGGAAAGGATAAAATGATAGTCAGACTTAAAGGTAGTTGGAAGCCAAGTTTAATCATCTGAGCGATTAATTGGTTGGAGATATTGGTGTAAAGATTACAAGCAAAAAATATGTGATTTAGATCGACTATAGAAGATTCATCACAAGCACAATTTGGGGACTCTATTACACCTATTCGATGAAGATGAGCAGGAAAGCAACCATGACCCAATCTCAATCTCGTTATAATTGTGGCGAATCTTCTATTCATATAGAAGACATCTATGTGGGGAATTATATTGGGAAGGGTCGGGTGAATAAGAGCATAATGATTTCGAGAGTTTACTACAAAGTTGGACCAGATCAAATCCCATCTTTTCTTGATGTTACCTCTGATCTCTATGAATAAATCAGAAAAAAGTAGCACATGGGTAATCGTACTAGAGTGAATTGCATTTTTTGCAGCTTTATCAACCATCTCGTTGCCTCTGATGCCAGCATGCCCTTTTATCCAAACAAAGTTTATCTTTGCTCTTTTGGCTTGATAAGCGACGAGTAAGTTTCTGATTTTGCATAATAAAAAATTATCATATGATCTAACAGGATTTGTTTAATTGCTTCTAAGACTGATCTCGAATCTGTAATAATTGTTGCATGATTAATATTCTGCGAAAGGCACCAGAAAATCGCCTGTAGGTCAGGAATCCTGTATCCCTTGCAATAATCTTTTTGTGGGACGTAGAACGCGCACCCAGTACCCATCTCACTTTTGGAGCCGTCGGTATAGACGACAGTGTGGCAATTGAGATCTTCCAATACGGCAGATAGATCAGACCTATTGTAATAACAGTTTTCGGTATATGTAGGGATTGTGATTGTTGTTTCTTTAAGGAAAACTTCATAAGGGCCAACATATAACGGGTAATTATCCATAGGATAAATTAAATTAGCGAGATAACTTGTCTACGAAAGCTTCAGCTAGCAGTAATGAGGATTTTTTTTTCAGTACTTGTTAGTCAAGTCTGTAGTTACTAATTGTGATATCTTATTAAGCAAGTATTTGTTATAGGTTCTGTATTTGACAACAGCCTTCTCTGCAAAGTACCTTCTTCGCAATGAAAGAGGAGGTTCCCTTGCTTCAGCTAACATTGCTGGACATGGTGTTGATTTCATGACTCCCATGCAAATTCTCAAGGCCTGATATTGTATTCGGTCAATTTTAGTTAGGTGATTCTTAGCCGCGGAACCGTACAGCACCCAACCATAATCCAATATGGACCTTACGTAAGACTGGTAAAAAATAAGCGCTATTTTAGGATCTGATCCCCACTTTTTCTTTGTGGTGCACTTAAGTATGTTAATCCCTTTTTCAGCTTTTGTTTTTAAGTACTGAGTATGCTTGCCCCAAGTGAGCTTACAATCCAGCACTACTCCTAGATATTTATATTGCTGAACCACGGGTATACTAAGGCCACTGATATCATATAGGCTGGGAAGTGCTACTCTGTGTCTTGTGAAACACATCATCGCAGACTTCTCTACAGCCAATTGGAAATTTACCTCTAGCAACCAATTTTTTACTTTCTCTATCACGAGTTCAAACTTTTGGAGGCAGTACTGGTATGAATTGTGAGCAATGTAAACACATATATCGTCGGCGTATTGAATGACTTGAACTTCCTTGTCGAAAATGCCATGGAAGTCAGTTGTATATATATTAAATAATATAGGACTAAGAATTGAACCCTGAGGAAGGCGGCTCAATTAAGATATGCTATATAGTACGCATATAATTTTCTGTCAATATGCCTGTCAGGAATTTGATTTTGTATGTGATAAATATTATTTTCTTCAAAAGGTAGGCTGCATGAATGTCCCACCTAAAATGCTGGTCTAAAAAAATTTGTAAATATACATATTTTTAAATTTGTATTGTTTATTTTTAAGAAAAGATCAATCGGATTAGATGTCTTGCGTATTATGTAAAGGGTAGAAGGTGCAGTCTTTCCAAGGTTCACGGTTAATTTTCTAGTGGTGAAAGAATAAATGATTTTATAAAAGTCATTCTCAATTATTCTCTTTACGTCATACCAGGTTTGCCTTTTAGTATTGCCGTATCAGCAGCAAAACTATTTTACCTACACAGTTAATTTTGAATATACCATTCAAATAGATTGAATGAAAGAGGGCCTAACACTATACCCTGAGGTACACAACATTTGACAAGCATTTTCTAACTGTATGATTTTGATAGTTTCGCTACTTGGGGCCTTTTTGATAAATAATTTTGCATTAAAGAACCCATTTTTCCAGAAAACCTAATTTTTTCTAAGATATTCAACAGTAAACTGTAATTGGCTATATCAGATCGACAAATACACAACTAGATGGAATTTTCTCATCAAGGTTTTGGAGGGAAGGATACCAATAAATTTTAATTTTCATGAACTCCTTTGTTTACAATCATGCTATTTTCATTTATTCTTCAGAGAACTACTTTTGTGGACAAGTTTTGTTCCTTATACTCATTTATTGAATAAGCAAAAAGTAGGTCTGTGAAGTTAGCCCAAAAAATCGGGGGCTAGGAATTTATTTATGTCATTCGATTGTCCATCATTTTTGTCCACAATCGTCCACCAATTCAGTTGATTTGTCCACCCTTCGTATTTTCCTAGAATAAAAAACTAGATTTTGGGGCTAACCTCGCGCAGCCTCAAAATTTTGGGTGGATGGGCGGACAAACGAATGCAAAGATGTTCGTCCTTGATGAAGTGCCTCCGGCGATTTTGCAGGGGTGTGAAGTTAGCCCCATATTCAATTCTTTCGAAAAACGATATTTGTGGCGCCAAAGATTTGCAGTGGATGGACGATGTGTTTCAAACGAGAACTAGGTTTATTCCTAACAAATCATTTTCAGCAATTTTCGAGGCGTTTGAGTAGAAATTTGAGATCATGTCAGATCGATCGTTTTTCCATTCCCACCAAACTTGAAAGGTGGACCAATTAAACTTAATGGTAGACACATGTAGACTAACGATGGACAAACGGAAGAGCAAAAGGTTTTTCAAAATTAGAAAATTTTGATTCTGCGTGAAATTAGCCCCAAAGTCTATTTTTTGGTGGACAAATGATGGACAAATGAATGACATAAATGAATCCCTAGCCCCCGATTTTTTGGGGCTTTTAATTTGGTACGTTTCTCGAGCTCAAAGTAGTATTTGAGCTCATACGCATAGATAATCCACAAGAGTACGATTTCAAAAATCTTCTATTTTGCACAATTCTTCTGCTTATATTATGTCCCAGAAAAATAGTTAACGGATCGTACATTCTCACAGAAAGGATGAAAAGCATGCATGCTATCACATTCAATACTCATACGGACTCTCCTTATCACCACGTACCGTCTCGCTTTATTTTGGAATAATATTTGTACACACAATGATATCATCCATCAGCGACAAGTCAAAACTATATTTTCCTCGATCAATATAGATAAAGCTGATATATATTTCGTTAAATTCGATGAAATCGTCGCCAGTAGATGGCTTAAGTGAAAAATATGTTCATGAGCAAACAAAAAGTTGAGAGGATGTGTTGCGGAGCCGTCTATGTTTGTTCTACTTTGGGCGAAGCGGTGTAAGAACCAGTGCTGGATACAGAAAAATGTACTCATGTTTTGTGTGCACTTCAGTGGCGCCACATCAAGGTCAAGCGACGAATATATTCCAGCAACGTTTGCTGATAAATCTAATATCTTAGTAATTCTTAGCTCTTCAGATGCTTCTCAAAAAATTAATAACAATAATAATATAATCAGTACATTGAAATAAAACAACTCTGAATGATCTGATTGAGTGATTTTCTTAGAGTAGAGCCTTTGGGAAAACATTTTGGTACACTTGTTGGTATTGGTTGTTGCGCAAACTCATCATTCAAGATAGACATGTGACATATCGCGAGATTGAGGCGTCCTTGAAGCTCTCAAAGACCTCAATTCAAAAAATTTTACATGAAGAATTAGGAGTGAGAAAATTAGTTTCTCGTTGGATATCCCACCTGTTGACTGAA